GGAATGTTCCCCTGGAGAGGAGAAGGATCCAGGGAGAGCTCAGAGCCCCTGGGAATGTTCCCCTGGAGAGGAGAAGGATCCAGGGAGAGCTCAGATCCCGTTCCCATTCCCGATCCCATTCCCGTTCCCATTCCCGATCCCATTCCCGATCCCATTCCCGATCCCATTCCCGATCCCATTCCCGATCCCGGCCAGGCCCGGCCGGACCGGGCACGCAATGGGCGTGGTCTAATTTGCATGAACCAATGGTCGCGGGTTATGCAAACGAAGGGGCGGGGCCGGGCGCCGGGCGGGGCGGCGCGCGCGGGGCGCCTTTGTCCGGCACGGGCGGCGGGGCCGGAGCGGCCGCAGCGGCCGGAGCGCGGTGTCCGCCCCGCGGTGTCCGCCCCGCGGTGTCCGCCAGCCCCTGTCCACCCCAGCCCCTGTCCACCCCAGCCCCTGGCCGCCCCAGCCCCGTGATGACCCTGGAGGAGCTGCCCGGGGAGCGCCGCGCCGCCGGGAGGTGAGGCCGGGGGGCGGCGGGGGCCGGGCGGGGAGCGGCGCGGGGTGGCCGGTGACGGCCGGTGCCGCGTGTCCCGGCGCAGGATGGAGCAGGCGGGGGACGCGCTCCAGGAGGTGCTGAGCAAGGCGCTGAGCCAGCGGAGCCTGACCCTCGGCGTCTACGAGGCGGCCAAGCTGCTCAACGTGTGAGTGCCCCCCCCGTCCCCGTCCTCCCCCCGGTGCGCGCTGCCCGGTGCGCCCGCGGTGACGGCGCTGCCCCGCAGGGACCCCGATAACGTGGTGCTGTGCCTGCTGGCGGCCGAGGAGGAGGAGGCGGGGGACGCGGCGCTGCAGATCCACTTCACGCTGCTGCGGGCCTTCTGCTGCGAGAACGACATCAACATCCTGCGCGTCAGCAACCCGGCGCGCCTGGCCGAGCTGCTGCTGCCCGCCGCGGGCCCCGACCCGCCCGCCGACCTGCACTGCGTGCTCGTCACGGTGAGCCCGGGCTGCCCCCGCGGGCTCCCCGCCGCCGCTCGCACCCCCCGAGCCGCCGCGCCCGGGGCTCGAACCCGCGGCCCCGGCGGCGCGGCGCGGGGTCCCGCGGTGCCTCCGCCGCCCTCGCCCCCGTTCGCCGCTGTGCCCCGGCTCCTCCTTTGTTCCTCGCCTCTTTCTCCTGTTCCGTCTTTTCTTTCCTTTGCTTTCCTCCTTTCCCTCTTTATTTTTCCCTTTTTCTTTCCCTCCCTTCCCCCACTTTTATCTCTCCCTCCTGGTTTTTTCTCCCTCCCCCCTTCCCTTCTCTGCCCCAGAGTCCAAAGCTAAAGCTCCTGACGCGCTCCCAGGCCCGACTTGTTTGTTTGCCTCGCCAGCAATTTAAGATGATTCACACTCCTGCGCTTCCCCCCCAGCCCCCGCCCGCCGCTCTGGGCTTGTTTTTGCTGCCGTGCCGGAGCTTTGTTTTTTTTTTTTAATTTGTTTTTTTGCCGTCCCCTTTGCAGAACCCGCAGGCGTCCCAGTGGAAGGACCCGGCGCTGAGCCAGCTGATGTGTTTCTGCCGGGAGAGCCGGTACCTGGACCAGTGGGTGCCGGTCATCAACCTCCCGGAGCGGTGACCCCGGCCCGGCCGCTGCGGCGCCGCAGAAATTCTCGCTCAGGAAGGAACTCCCTGCCCCCGGCTCCGGGAGGGAAAATAAAAACCCGACAGCAACAACGAAACGTAGATGTAAAACAATAACGCTAAAACTGATGTCACTTGCGGGGGGTTTGGCTGCGGTGGAGCGATGCTGAGTGTGGCAGATGAGGAGAACAGGATGAGCCCAGCCCCAACTCCCCTCGCTCCCTCTGTCCTTAAGTGCCACTTCAAGTTCCTGCTTTGAACGCCTTGACGAGCAAACAGGTTCATCGAGGCCTTTTGCCAGCAATGTTGTTGTACTTTTGGGATGTAATTCTCACGTTTTTATGCTAAGATATATAATAATAATAATAATAAGTTATTTTCTGATATCAATGGAAAAAAAATTATTTATACTTGGTGGTTTGAGAACCGAAATGCCCTCAAGCAGTTGGTCTGCAACCACGAATCTTCTCCCAGTTGGCTGCAAAAGCAGCGCCATTAATATAATTGTTTGAAATTCGAGTGTATTTTTGGGGTTATGGTGGTCTTGTTTTGTGTTTTCTTTTTTTTTTTTTTTTTGAAATAAAGTGTAAAAATCAAACCTTTGGCCCAGGCTTTTATTCCCTCACTGCACGAGGCTGAGCAGTGAGCAGCAGCTGCTTCCTCCTGGCCATGGGCAAGGTCCTGTTGTGCAGCTCCAGTGTGGGTTCATTCCCGGCCCCTCCCAAGCAATTAAAGGCTGAAGCAGCCCGTGTGCTGCAGGAAATGTTGGGAATGTTGTTTATTTATTTATTTAATTTGCTTGAATGCTGCTGCAACAGGCACTAAAAAAAACCCAAAAAAACAAACAAAAAAAATGGAAAAAAAAAAACAAAAAAAAAAACAAAAAAGGGTTTTGCTGATGGGGTTTCCAGCTCCTCCTTGGCAGGTGGAAATCCTGATTCCCTGCTGGAGCAAAACCTGGCCCAGGGTTTCCTGGAGGCCGGGAGGGGAGGCTGGACCTGTTCTCCCACTCCTGGGATGCTCCAGCACCAGGCCACCCTGTCCCTGTCCCCAGCCCAGGTCCCACCCTGTGCCTGGGGCCACTGCAGCAGCAGCAGCAGATTTATTTCTCCAAGCTCAGATTCAATCCAAACCCCTCTGGTTTCTCCCAGTGTCACCCCCAGCCCTGTCCCCACACCACAAAGTGGGGGGTCCTGGGGGAACCTGGACCAACACACAAATTCTCATTTTTCTCCCCAAATCACACAAATTCTCATTTTTCTCCCCAGATCAGCCAGCTTGGCCAAGGACAAGAGGGGCAGCCCCATGGTGGGGTCTCACCACGGGTTTCTCCCACTACCTGTGGATGCAATGGTTTCGCTTATTTTTGAAAAAGCTACAAAGGCAGAGCCTGCATTTCCCCAGATTTTACAATCTCTGCTCTTTCTGGGGGTACTGATAGCAAAGAGCAAACCTAACCACTCCAGATTTCAGCGTTTATTGTATTTTAAAATGGTGAGTTCACCAAAAATCTCGGCATTAAATGCTGCCAGATGTGGGCAGCTGTGCTGGATCACCAGGCAGGAGCCCACATCTGGATCAGCACCCTGCCACGAGCTTCTCTGAAGGGCAGACACCAAGAACGTCCCTGCAGCCCAAAAAAATATTCCAATCTCTTCCCAAATCCCTGGGAAAACAAGGACTGGCAGCACGGGGCTCCCTCCCTCCCCTCAGCCCCACAGGAGCAATTAACAGAGCTCATTAATTGTGGCCAGGTGTGTGGCAAGCAGACTCGGTGAAAAGGAACTGGTGCAGAGCCACGCTGCTGCTGGTGTCTTTTTCTACTAAAAAACACTCTGGTTACAAAAATAATTTGCACAGGGTAAGCAGCAGGTTGTTCTGCCAGGCTGATTTTTGGAGCTCTGCCAAAGAGATTTGTCAAACAAAGGTGATTTTTTTTTTTTATTCTCTATCAAAAGTGGGTCTGTAATTTCATACAGATATGACAAATCTGCAACGTAAGGGGCTCAGAAATTCTGCAAATATCCCCCCAGAAATGCAGGGTTATGGCAGATGACTTCAGCTGCCTGCACAGAAGGACATTTGCAGCCAGCTGAAGCCAGGATTATTTGTGAACCCTTCAAAATTTGCTGTTAATATATAAGGTTTATATATCTACACACACACACACAGAGAAAGACATTTTTATTATATGTATATATAAAATATATACTAGATGGAAAGGCCCTCAATTATAAATGCATAATCACAAGCTGGAGCTAATTTGGCATTTTTCCTGTTTAAAAATTGATTTTTTTTTTTATAAAAACGAGTCAAGCTCTGACTCCCTGCTCAGAACCCGGCTGGGGCTGGGGGTGAGGGCAGCGTTCCTCCAGCTCTGCCAGGGCACCTCCAGCCTCTCTTTTTTAATTTCTTTGAGGGTGTGTTTTTCACTAATAAAGTTTTTTATTCGAGAAGAAAAGGCAGCAGAATCCAAGCTGGAAATTCTGCTTTTCCAACCCACGGAAAGCAGGGAAAGCATCTCTGATTCCCAACTTTATCCTGGAAAAGCCCTGGGATGAGAGGCCAGCAGGAGGAAGGCTGAGGCAGAGCTCCCCAGCAGCTGCTACAATCATTTTTTGCAAGGTAGATTTTGCTAGAAAATGCACTTTTCAGCGTGCCCGTGCACAAACAGGTGCTGCCAGCAGGGGCACGACCCCGCCAAAAAATTAAAAAAAAAAAAAAAATTTAAAAAAATCGTTAATTTTATAAAATGTAAACCCAGTGATTCCATCAGGTCTGTACAGCTTCGCTTCACCTGCAAAGCTCAGGCAACTTTGGTCGCGCTGGAGTTGGCGAACGGCCCCAGGAGCTCGGGGCACCCAGGGGCGCGGCAGCCGCCCGCCCTAGAGCACAACGCAGGTTTTCTTGTCCTTGAAGGGGTTCTCGGAGGCCGGGATGCCCAGCAGCAGAGGGTCCTTCCGGGCGTGCTCCTCGCAGTACAGCAGCAGCTCCGCCGCCGCCTTGGACACCTGCGCGGGAGGCGAATGGAACGGCCCGGGGGGGCACGGAATGGAACGGCCCGGGGGGACAGGCAGAGAATGGAACGGCCCGGGGGGACAGGCAGAGAATGGAACGGCCCGGGGGGACAGGCAGAGAATGGAACGGCCCGGGGGGAGGCGCGGAATGGAACGGCCCGGGGGGACAGGCAGAGAATGGAACAGTCCGGGGGGAGGCACGGAATGGAACAGCCCAGGGGCGGGGGGGGACCCTCAGCCAGTGCAGTGACCCTTAACCGAAACAGAACCAAATGGGAAATAATATAAAATATAAAATATAAAATATAAAATGTGAAAAGTGAAATGATATAAAATTTAAAATATAAAATGTAAAATGTGAAATGTGAAATGATATAAAATTTAAAATATAAAATGTAAAATGTGAAATGTAAAATGATATAAAATATAAAATGTCAAATGTAAAATGTGAAAAAATAAATATAAAATATAAAATATAAAATATAAAATNTTGGACACCTGCGCGGGAGGCGAATGGAACGGCCCGGGGGGGCACGGAATGGAACGGCCCGGGGGGACAGGCAGAGAATGGAACGGCCCGGGGGGACAGGCAGAGAATGGAACGGCCCGGGGGGACAGGCAGAGAATGGAACGGCCCGGGGGGAGGCGCGGAATGGAACGGCCCGGGGGGACAGGCAGAGAATGGAACAGTCCGGGGGGAGGCACGGAATGGAACAGCCCAGGGGCGGGGGGGGACCCTCAGCCAGTGCAGTGACCCTTAACCGAAACAGAACCAAATGGGAAATAATATAAAATATAAAATATAAAATATAAAATGTGAAAAGTGAAATGATATAAAATTTAAAATATAAAATGTAAAATGTGAAATGTGAAATGATATAAAATTTAAAATATAAAATGTAAAATGTGAAATGTAAAATGATATAAAATATAAAATGTCAAATGTAAAATGTGAAAAAATAAATATAAAATATAAAATATAAAATATAAAATATAAAATGTAAAATGTGAAATGTAAAATGATATAAAATATAAAATATAAAATGTGAAATGTAAAATGTAAAATGTGAAATGTAAAGTGTAAAATGTAAAATATGAAATATAAAATAAATATAAAATATAAAATATAAAATATAAAATGTAAAATAAATAAAATATAAAACGTAAAATATAAAATAATATAAAATGTAAAATATAAAATATAAAATGTAAAACGTAAAATGTAAAACGTAAAATGTAAAATATAAAATAATATAAAATATAAAACATAAAATGTAATACATAAAACATACAATATAAAATGTAAAATATAAAATATAAAGTATTAAAGAAATATAAAATATAAAATATAAAATGTAAAATATAAAACATAAAATGTAAAACCTAAAAATAAAAAACATAAAATATAAAACCCATACCCTACTCTACAACCAAAACCCATAATTTATCCCAAGACCTTTAACAAAAAGTACCTAATGAAACTCAAAACCAAGCACTGGAATTCTGAAATCAAAACGATAAAAAGTGCTGAGGGCTGTGAGGGTGGCACGGGAGAGCTGCTGGGGAAACCCCTCACCCAATATAACCCTTAACCCAATCAAACCAAAACCAACTTCACAAAAAAACCCAAAAAATCACAGAAGTTTAAATATTATATCAAAAAAAGAATCACAAAGGAAAAAAAAAATAATATTACACAAAAAAGTTTTAACACCTATACAAGAGTTTTTTTATTCCGTACGAGTAAAAAAATTTAAAATAAAAAAAATATAAGCCAGTCCTATTCCTCCTCTTTCTTCTTCCTTACCTCCATATTCTTAATAATATTAACACTCATAAATTAAAAGAAAAATATTTAATATAAATAATAAACATTAAAAAACCCTATACACATTTAACACATAATATACCACATAAAAAATAACAAGCCAAAAGCAAAAAAAACAAAAAAAAAACCCAAAAAAAGTGTCAAAAGTGTGTGTACCTCTACCTAAGCTACTAACCAAGCCACAATAACCCAAAAAAAAAAAAAAATCTTTTAAATAACTTAAAATAAACTACCTTAAAAGCAAACAACAAAAAAGGGCTACATTTTTAAGAACACAAATTAAAAAAAACCCCAACTTTTCCACTTTAAATGCAAAAAATAAAAAACTGCTAATGTTTTTTCTTAAAACACAAAAAAAAAAACTTTTCCACCTTAAATGCAAACAACTGCTAAGTTTTGCTTTAAGAACACAAATTAAAAAAGAAAACAAAAACTTAACTTCCTGACCTTAAATGCAAACAACAAAAAATGCCTAAATTTTTCTCTAAAAACACAAATTAAAAGAAAAAAACAACTTTTCCACCTTAAATGCAAATGCCAAAAAACTGCTATTTTTTTCTTTAAAAACACAAATTAAAAAAAAAAAAACAAAAAAACCCCAAAACCTTTTCCACCTTAAATGCAAACAA